ATGAATGAAATTGACTGCATCTAAGAGATTTATAGAAAATGTTTCATTTTTATCGATCGCCTCTAACGTTTTCATAAGAAGAATTTTTCACCGGCAGACTCTCCAACAATTTTTCCGCTTCTGATATTATGCCTCTTCTTGAAACGCTCTTCCCAACTTTTAGAACAAGCATTACACACGTCACTCTGCTTTACTCCACTTTTTATTTTGTTAATAATCTCGTACTTTTCATTTAGTGAAAAGCTTTGCATTTTTGTTTTTAAATTCTAAAACCGTTTACATACGTAACGCGGCAAAAAACAACAAGTCGCTGCCTGTCTCTCGCTCTCACTAATATAAACAACTCCGCAGGATTGGTTGCTGAGCGTGGAAGTTCGTTATAAACGGAAAGTGAATATACAACTAACCTAGAAAGTGATCGTGATATCCGGCAGTTCGTTATAAACGGGTTCGTTATAACCAGTAAAAAAATACGTTGGTCTTTATGGACCACGTTTCAATTAAAAGAAAAAAGTTCGCTCTAACCGAAAGTTCACTATAACCGGGTTCATTATAAGCGGACTTTACTGTATCTCAATTTTGACCCCGGCGAACCTAAACAGCGACTGTTTCCTAGATAGTCCTTTAAAAATGGGCCTATTTGGTCTCGCCCGGTATATTTTATATCAAGCCTTTTAACTGGGCATTTAGAAGGAGGATTGTGTGACCTTGTGACTTCAGTTGTAAACAACTCAATTTAGCCGTCAACTCCGTCAACAAGTTAATTAATATTTTCAGCGTGAACTATGTTTCTTTCAGAGGTTTGTTTGCCTTTTATTTGCTTAATAAAGCCGCTGCTTTGGTTCAATTTACCAGCAAATGAGAAAAGTTGCCAACAAGCTTTTACTGCCGCACTAATAATTTATGTTCCTGTGTATGCACCGAACAGAATTGCATTTTGTGTATTAATAACTCAGCCAATAGCCCCAAAATCGACATGGGAATTAATACGAACAGTCTAACCAAAAATGGCCATTATTACCATCGGAAATTTATATTATTATTATTATTTTATTGTTGAAATATGCAATGTAGGGTTTGCATTAATTCGCGTTGTCATATTTGCAATTATTTACAGGCGGCGTTAATTAAAATATAAATGCAATAAATTTATTGCGTTTTCAGTTTGATTCCAAGATGTCAATGATTGATTCAAACCAATTGATGCTTTTTTATTTAATTTACTGTTATTAAAGCTCGAACAATCGACATAAAAAATCAAGCATTGGTTTCACGCCATCCGGTCACATCCCTGTAATTTTCACTTTGCAACAATGCCTGGGCAAACGGTCAATCCTAATCATGGGTCTTTTCACGGGAAGGTAATTTATGGAACCAGATCTCGTTCAATACCCCTAATTTATAGGTATTATGGGTTTAACAATAACTTGCTGAATTATGAAGCACGAGTGAACTGGCCACTGTAAAATAGCCAAGGAAGGGGGAGTAAAATATACACTGTGTCCAAACTAAGCATGGGAAAAGGAAGTTGAAAGTTAAATTCAGAAAAACCTTCAGTCCTCGTGTCCGGAGCGTTCATGTTCACTTCAGTTTTTTAACGAAAAAGTCGATAAAACAGCCTTTAGTCTTTCAGAGCGGAACGAATTTAATAAAGCCTTTATTTGAGTAGAATCGAGAGTGGAAAGAAAAAAGAAGCATACAGAAAGAAACTGTTCCAATCCATTTTGCCGTAGTGAAGTCACATACTCATTACTGTTGCAGAAGTCGACAATTAGTGTTGCAGTCTGCATGTTGCATCTGGGATGATTGAAATGCACTCAACAAGCCGAGATAACTCAATAAACTTGAAATTGGAATCTAATTGGGCTTTAATTATGCAATATGGTCTCATGCTGACAGTTGAGTGAATGGCATGGCATGGGTTTTGTCGTCCAGTCGCTATTTCTTCTCCCCAGACGCATAACGATAAATTATCGTGACCTACTTACTAAGAAATACATTTACTGAACGCACACTAAAAAGCAGAGCTTAACAGAAAAGAAACTGCTAAAAAGTTAGTTGTACATTTTCACTTATTCTTTAGATTTTTGTTTATATCGGGGAAAAATGTGAGGTCAATGACTCTTATCAACATTTCTTTCTAGTAATGTCCATATAAATTGCATCCTTTCAATTTTCTTTATCATCTCGACCCTATTCCACCTCAGGGGCAGACATGAAAACAGAAGCCTTAACTCGACCTCTATAAAGTATATATGTTAGCTAGCCCCTAGATATTTCAGTCCCATATCGACGGGGCTAAATTTTGAACCCCGCAAATACGCGCCTTTTAACAACCCTTTGGAGTTTTGACCTTTCGCCCTATGACCCATTAAGCCGTAAAAAGCCAGCTTGTCTGAAAAGGATCTTGCAAAACAATGAAAAAGAGGTTTTTTGGAAAGTCGATTACTTTTCCAGTACATCTCTGTTTGCTTTCATTTTGTATAGTTTTTTCAGTATATTCGTTTTATATCAAATACTTTTAAAACTTCGTTCCTATTCAAAACGTCTGATCAGTTAGGTTTATTGGCAATTTCCCTAAACATATCAAATCACTTTCTGTCCTACTTACATAGAGAATGTATGCCAAACCGATACATGCGATAATCGAAGCCGTAATACCGTGCAATTATCATATTTATCATTTTAAGTGCGAATCAGCCTTAGTTGGTTCTCACAAAGTGGTCAGCCAATGTTTCATGTCAGTTTGTTTGCATATTGCTTCAATATTCTCCACTTAATAATAAACACATTTTTATAATTAAGTTGGTTCAGTTAATGTTTGAAATTATAGCAATTGAAAATTATTTGTAATTCAAATTTTTTTGGGTCATGTTTCAAATTATTTGGTGCAATGTGTTTCATCCATCATATGTGACAAAGCTTTGTAAATTACCTGAAGCGTAATAAATCTTTTGATGTAAATGCGCGTTTTATGAGTGAAACCCCAAAGAATTTATTCATTTATGCGCGTCAAAAGCGCTGATAAAGAGCAGATAAAATGTGCAAGATTGATACAAACGAAATAAGTGCAGATACCCAATGAAAAATTCAAAGGATTTCGACGCAAAAACGAAATTTTACGGAAAACTCAAGAAATTAAACTAAATACCTGTGTGAGAAATATTAATGTTTGTAAACAAAAGTGACATTAAAATTACAGCTAAAACGCTACGGTTTACAGGAAAGTTTTTAAGATTTTTAAATGATTTTTAAATTGCTAAAAGCTTTTCTTGCAACAGTTTAGAAAATACTTCCGAAACTCATGGAAAAGTTGAAAAGTTTTTAAAATATTGAAGAGAAATCGAAATCAAACAAAATACAAAGCCAAAGTGAGTTATGAAAAATTACCATCAAAATTTTCAAATAATATTTAGTTATTTTACCTTAATGACAAAAATCTAAGTGCAAAGATCGTACACACACTTACTAAGCTCATCAATTCATAAGGTTTCAATTTTCTTATTCCTGTGTTTTTTTTGTGTAAAACCCAAGCATTAAAAGACATATTAAGATAATGTTCTAGTAACTAGACAAATATCGAACCATTTACAAGACTTGCCTAAGAACAGCAATGGTTATTTAATCCAGTTTGCCGTAGTTCCATAAAAGAGAAAACGAAACCGTTCGAATTATTGAAAAAAGTCAACCGGATAACCTTGCAAGAATTGCCTTCATAAGCCACGTCCGAACGTAATTGCAAATCTGTTAATATGCATTCATTTTTTATACTTTGTCAGGTAAATGGTAAAAGTACACACATGTATATTGCCGGTGAAGCCGAGTGCTCACTGTACGCTTTGAAGCCGACTAAGTAATAAATTGTGTAAAATACAATCGACAAATAATTAACAAAATAAGAGAAAACAAACAACCTTCTAAACGCCATTGAATATTTAACAAAATCCCTCAGCTGGGAAAATGGATATTCATTATTTAGTAGCAAACGAATCACCGTGAACCCAGAAATAACACTGGAATGAAAATATGTCAGCTTGTTCGGGGAAGCTGATGTAATTTCAAACGCAACCCATTTCAATGAGTTATTTCGGTCGAACCCTCGGGAATTAGGAATTAATCTGGAACCAGTTAATATTCTATTTACCTTAAAGCCACGTAGTTTAATTGCTTGCGACTTGAGACTATAACTGAATATACAAGCAATAGATCGGATCCCTCAATTATGTATTTACATTCGATCACAAATCCGAAATGTAATTCATTTTACCTAACTAGACTTGAGTAACATGTAAATGGCATGCACGTATCATACAAATTTGGAAAAAACATCAATTAGCCTTAAATGAAAAAGGTTTTCAGCCAAGGCACCCAGGGGCGGATACAGCTTTAAATTCAGGGGGGGGGGTTATGTAGAAAAAATACAGTCTTCTGTTGTCTGTGAAATTAGAAAAATTATCGTCGTTTTGTGCAAGGGTGGGGTAAGATTATTGCAAAATTTCATGTTTGCCGTCCCGTTTTGCATGTTTCTCGGAAGCAAAATGAGCAAGACCGCTCGTTTTTACATCATTCCAAAGAGAACTAAATGGCCTTTTTAGAAAGTGAACCATCGATAAGAAAATGTTGGCAGTTTTTTCAAAAAATGCTTGAATTCAAGAAGTTTTAGATTTGCGTGTTTTTTTTTTGAGGTGCAAAATCCACTTGAACATAACGCTGCTTTTTTCGAAGTTCCTCAACAACCACTCGAGCCATAGAATTTCTTTTGGCATCGTTGGATAGAGAATTGAAAAGTCGATTCAGTCGTTACAACGTGAGTGAGGAAATTCGAGTAGTTTTGACCCAGAAAGTGAAATTTGAATATCAAACACTTAGGTGCAAGATTAAGCCAAAATTTAATGTATTCCGTCCCGTTTTTGCTCTCATCTCGGAGGCAAAATGAGGAAGAACGCTCATTTGTACATCATTCTAGACAGAAATAAATGGCCCTTTTAGAAAGTGAACCATGGATGGGGAATTGTTGGCAGTTTTCTCAAAAAATGCTTGAATTCAAGAAGTTTTAGATTTGC